AGCAGATCCGAGATGCCACGGACTACACTCGCAGAGCACACAGTCTCTCTACAACTTGCCCAGTCTGTGCTCTAGGCAGGAGCCTTAATCAGAGGAGAGATAAAAGGCGCAGTGAAAAGGCCTCTCCCTTCCGCCAGAAACAGTGCCGATGACTCTTTAATAAGCACTCTTTCCAGGAGTTCGCCTTCAATAAATGAGATGCCAGAGCGTAATATGAGCAGACTACAACCACTGGAGATGCCAAAGAAATTAAGGATTGCCTGATTAAGAATTACCGAGACATTCTTCTGGGTAAGATTTCTTTTCAAAACATTTACATGTTTCGAGTAAAGGATGTCTCCTGATCAAAGGCACAACCCACACTGGTCGCATAGACGAAGGGCTCACTCATACTGACTGCCTGACTCCGCCCACACCTTCAGCGTGGAATATGCCTTTGACTCCCGGTGTACGTGCCCCTCCAGATGAACAAGATACCACGTGGGAAAATTGCTTTTCAAACGCTCATAGGTTTTCTCGATAGCGCGCACCGAAAGCGCGATAAATCATAAAACCCGTGGTATGACATCAATCAGTTCGCATTTGATCCATTTCGCATATCCTCAGATTCCCCGGATACCTTTATTCGCCCAGAGTGGGAAGGCCTTCAAGACAATCGGGAGCCAGGCGCGATCACAGCAGTTACAGTCTGTTCAGATAGAAGTTATCTGAGCACAGCAGGGGGTGTGGTTGTGAGAGCGACTGTATGCAGGCAGAAGAGAGTCTGAGATCTAATGAAAAGAGGGTCGGAATGGGACATACAGCCACGCCCCTTGCTGCCCTCCGATATGGCTGATAGGTACGTCACTGAAGAGAGCATTTTCAGAACAACGGCCAGATGCGTTTCACAAGGCCATGTTGCAGTGCATCCGGTCGAGCCCAAAAATAAATGAGATTATCGCCTGTCAGAAGTATTGCTATCGCGATCTGACCAAATGGCCGAAGCTGAATCAAATTTGGTAAGCAAAAAAGTAGCTCATTTTCAAAATCACAAATCTGCTCTACTCGATTTAGCCAAGCACAGCAAAACTTCTATACGCGACAAATCGAAGATTTCCGATTGGATGGTATGACCGTTGCCGAGGAAGCGTTTCGACTTGGAAGTGTTCACTATGCCTACGCAAAATATGGACTCAAGCCACATTTCCTCGATCTCTTCGTACTGCACTTTGAAACGGTATGGTGCTTAAAGGCAAACGGTACGATAAATGCGTTCCCCAGCAGAAAATCATTCAAATGGGTGGAGCGGAACCTGGAAAATACAGCTCAATACGGTCAAGATAGGCATTTTAATTGGGAACTGAACGAGCTCACTGTTATGGTTGAAGTTGTAGTCAAACTGAGAAAGTGAACCGGATCGCACCGAGGTAAAGCATCGTGAGTGTGATATGGCGATGTCAGTAGCTCAGCGATTTCCTGATCTGGTAAGACCCCCTTCCCTGTATGGACCACCTTAACTAACCACTTGATTAGCCTTTGAACTATATGATAAGTAAGTTGTTCGATTTTGAATTGGTAAAGCGGTAAATCAAGTGTTGTTAAGGTTCTTCAACGCCTGAAGTTTCCCAGTGACGAAGAAAAGCACACGTTCATTACGGCGTTTCGACAATTGAATATGTTCATTACGTCGACGATGAACCTCGCCTATTCCCTTTGCCAGCAACAGTCCTTCCAATCCAGATAATGAACTGATCGAAATTTGATTTGTTGCATTTCTCTCACCTTCGTATCTCAGCATATGATACCTCAATATTATTTGCAGTTTATTGTGCTTTTTCTACAAAATTGTCAAGGAAGGTCACGTCTGTTGTTCTGAACACAGAGGCCTGGTTATATGGTACTGCTCGTATATGCCGAGCAACCATTCAGGTTAAGATGCTCCTGGAAGATACTCAGTGTAATTCAGCAGAATTTCACTTTCCCAACCTTAAGCAGAGCAGATTCATAAGAATTTGACTTTTCACAATCGCATCGGCATTTGCACTCTTGATCGCTGCGAAGGACGGGGATGGCTTTGGCGCAGCGGTAGCCCGTTTTCTTTCTTTTTTTTTCTTATGGCAAGCAACAAGCATGTATCATATCCTTCGTGTCAGTCGTTTTCCACTTATTGTTGTCTCTTACCCCTTCAACATCTTCACGATTATGGGTCTTTTATCGAAAACATTGTAGTCTTTGATGTTTTGTATTTGTACAAGTGAGATTTGTATAAGAGATATAGGTTTTAGTCCTTTCATCAATCCCTTCTTGTGATGCGCCACCGATTCTACTTCCACTCGGAATCGAAATGATATTTGCATTGGTTTAAGGTATATTTCAGTGCTATTATCCATTACAAAGGATGTGGCACTCACTAACCACCGACCTGGGATACACGA